TTTTTTCTTATAAAGGTATATTTTCTATACATTTACTTTTTCTCTCAGTTAAATGTAGATATTTTTTCTCAAATCTAATAAAGTACAACTATTTTATCACAGAAAACCAAAAAAAATATATATATTTTAACGATTTCCTGAGAAAATGACTAAGCTCGTTTTAAATTTTGACGCATTCTCATTTATAAAAATAATTGTTGTTATATTTATATTAGTCCATTGGTTTAATAGTAGTTATCTAACAATAATTCCCATTGATAATAATTTAAACGAAATGGATACAGTTAACTGAACTTATTGAAATTATTCGTATATAATAATATTAAATGTTACTACCCAAGTATTTATTTAACACATTACCTAAATTTACGATTCTCAAAGTTCTGTTAAAATATTTTTGACAATATATCTTACAGAAATGGATGCCAGAGGATTTCATGAATATGTCTTCGATGGACTACAGCCGGATTTTCAGTGGCCGTCAATTAAATTTAAAAGGAACTATTATCCGCAAGGAATTACGTCCCGAGGATTCAGCGATGATATTTTTCACCAAAGCTTTGGAATGTTCGAGCCTTTAAAACGGTATGTAGTRGATATATTATTTACTAAATAATAAACAAATAAACTCATTAAATGGTCAAGTTGAAACTCAATAAAATAAAAAACAGTAAATACTTTATTAATAATAAATCTATACATGTAAACACTATACTATAGAAGTCCATAAAGTATTGTGATGATAATTAATCAAGTTAGACTTGTCCATATTTTAAAAACCACAACTTATAGTTTACCTATACAAATTATAAATCTCATAATAACTTATTTGTTATTAATAATTAGTAATTACAAACAACACGCACAGAAAATAATATCAAGCTCGTTAATGCTTAAAAAAAAATGTGAAAATAGATTAGAGCTTACAAAGTGGTGTAAAATATAATTTCTCCYCTTTAAAATATCTGGAGGCAACCATTCTCCTCTTTGTATCGTCAGATTACGCCAATGCTAACATCCACTTAAACGAAATACCGTACAAAAATCATTCACGCTGCAAAAATATACAAATTGATCGTTATTATTAATCATAAAAAGTTTAAAATTTTAATAAATATAAATATAAGTGGAATTTTTTTTTTAGATTTTTGTATATAATTTTATTTCATTTCAAATAAAACATTCCTTCAAAAAATTACACATCTGAATTTWAAAAAAAAATATATTAACTCTGAAGAGATAAAAATGATACAAAAAAAGGCGGGTAAGTCGTGGATGTCGCTCTGCTGTACAGTAGGTTACAAGTGGGTTACTGTAATGGGTGGAATTAAATTTGAATCCAATGATATTATATCATTGTATACGAAAAACGATTCTGAACTAAGACGGTTTATCTGTCTAGAATATATATTATAGATTATTAAAAATTTTCAAATCTTAGATTTAAAAAGAAATTTTTTTATGAATTTCTAGCATAAAATAATTTATGAATTTTCGTGATTTTTACGTATGTTGTCTAAAATTCAAACTTTGAATGCTTGTAAAAAAAAAAAATTGTGCTAATATATTTCTTTTATTTTTCACCTGCTATTGTAAAAATATTAGGAGCCTTATATAAAATTTTAAATTCTAAGATATAAAAGGAAAATTTTTAATGAATTTCTAGCATAAAATAATTTATGAATTTTCGTGATTTTTACGTATGTTGTCTAAAATTCAAACTTTGAATGCTTGTAAAAAAAAATTGTGACTAAGCATTTCTTTTATGTTTCAACTGCTATTGTAAAAATATGTTAGGAGC